ACGGAAGTAAGTTTTTAATTTTAATTTTCAACCTTACTTCTTTGTATATGGGCTTGGTCATTTAGACCAACCATGTAACCACCAGGTAACCATAGGTATTTTTACTGAAGTCTTGTCTGTGAATATAATGAGTTAGAGTGTAATTCAGCCTCTAACTAGACTAAATACAAGGTTTTCACCTTACAGCATCAAGTTATGTTACTGAATTACATAACACGTGTCAAGTTATGTTACTGAATTACATAACACGTGTCAAGTTATGTTACTGAATTACATAACACGCATGTAGACCTTGCTGAAAAGTTTCAGCTTTTTTCATTCATGTTTCTTTATCTAACCTAATAAGTTTCTAATTTTTACATTTTAGTTACTTTTATATGAATAAATAAAAAAATATCCATAAATGAAAATAAAAAATTTAGTACTTATGTCTGGTCTCGTTTTCTTGCTGTTGGCCCCTGCCAAACTTAACCCTACTTTTTTTTAGTAAAGATGGTGATAGTACATAATTTATATTTATTTGAAACATGTAATAAAGAAAACAAAATAATAATATACCCAAAGCATACATTATCCAATAACTATTATAATTTAACTGACTTTCTAACTAAGATATAATCGCCTTAAAATAATTTACTTATCTGTTCAACGTGAACTTGGCAACAGTAACAATTATTCAGTAGGCTGAATAATCCAAACCTTTTTGGTAGAAGAAGTTAGCCCTATATAAAAATCAGTAAAACAAAATCTTTCTATTGGTTATAAATAATCCAAAATCAAATATCAGAGAGAATTACTAATAAAAGACAAGAGGGTGTAGTAAGTGGGTTTGTATTTCTGGTTTATATTTCAGTAAGACAAATAGGACATAATACAGGGGTGATGAAAAAAATCAAAATTGTGTAATTCAGAGTGAACAAGTACCACGTGATATGGACAAGTGAAGATTGAGAATTTATTTAAATATTTCATGTTGGAATTCCAAAATTAAAACTTCAAATAAAATTATAATTTGATTTATTAACTGTGTTTTATTGTCAAGTTTACTGACATACACTGATAATAAATTTTAAATGTCCCACTGTAAAAGATCGTCACATGTGCTCTTTGACCTATCTGCATTCAGAGGGTTAATGGCACTTAAAGGTGCACACGTGCTAAACATCCAAGTCAGAGACCCCTAGTATACCAATACAGCCATCCCAATTTTGAACTAATGACTGGAAGGAAGGTTGATATTGAAAAGCACCTGTCCCCACAGGGTTTTGTCTGTCTTTTTAAAGTGAACAATGAATTTAGTTATCATTTTCTCCACAGTATCAAATCTTGAACCTCAAACCCTTTGATCCACTGCCCAACACGCACACCTGGCCCTGATCATAAAAGAACTGGTTCAAGAAAATTGGGTGAGAGAAACGTTAACAATTCATTAAAAATAATAATACTAAGGACTAGCTGAAGATAACAACAGTGGAGGTTAGATAAAAAAGACAGAGATCTGAGATATCATACTTAACATATAGCATGAAGATAACATTAACAACTCTTTGTTAATGTTATCTTCATGCTATATGGTAAGTAATAAGGTCTTTGTTAATGTTATCTTCATGCTATATGGTAAGTAATAAGGTCTTTGTTAATGTTATCTTCATGCTATATGGTAAGTAATAAGGTCTTTGTTAATGTTATCTTCATGCTATATGGTAAGTAATAAGGTCATTAACAAAGACCTTATTACTTACCATATAGCAGGAAGATAACATTAACAAAGACCTTATTACTTACCATAAACTTCTTTGTACGCAAATGCTTGTACGTATAACACGTAGAGGGGACGAGACAACAGTTCTGTTCCTTTATGGTGAAGCTGTGTGGCCTGAAGTGGTATACCAAGCTCTTCGTGGAGTGGTTCTGTTGCCTACAGCACAAATAACAAGTTTCAAAGGTTCTATGGTCGGCAAAACAAATCAAAGGATAAAACAGAACTCAGTGATGGGTAATTAAACAACCAGACTTATCGGTCAATATTACAAATATATTGTGTTCAGTCGTACGAGATCGATTAAATTTAGATGATAAATATTTTCACACTTAGGCAACAGTATTAATTTACACTTAGGCAACAGTATTAATCTAAATTGAATATTATGAACTGATATCAGTATATAATGTAAAAATTTCAAAATTACAGACCTCCAAGATAGTTTTCAACCGTGGTTTGAGGTTATCAAGGCATTCTTTTTTCTTTTCTATTTCTTGTTGATAAATCTGTTTCATGTTTTCTGTCTCCTTCAACTTTTCAGCAAGCCTAAAACCAAAGAAATATTCTCCCAGTTTACGCACACACAAGAAAATCTATGTCTACACAGGAATATCAATTCATGAAAAACATCTACAATAGTTTCTTTCATTAGGTGGGTTCTTATAGGTTATTTGATTAAAAACAAATATGCAAAGTCCAGTACAATTAATGAGAAGTTTTATTTCTTCAATTATAAGTTCTAAACCACAGTTTAATTAATGTTCACTGATAAACCTAAGTTTACAGTAAAAGCTAATACAAATTCATTTACTCGCTAATGTTCTTGCACTCCTAATTCTTCATAGAGGTAAAAACTCAATAATCACATCAATAACTTGTATAACTAACAAACTCAACCAAATAATATCTCATTATTTCAGTCTCAATGTACCTTATTAATACTCAATAATAAATAATAATGTATTTTAGATTAAGTGATTTTATACTGCTCTATAAATTTACTAAGCTTTCCAGAAGGTTCTAGTCTTAAGCCATTCCCTTTATGTAAAATTAAACCTCCCTCTTGCCAAACAACAATACTAAATACCATAGTTTAAAATAAATGGTCTGCTAAAACAAATGCATGCAAAATGAATAACACGCCCTTTGTTTTGAAAATTTTCTAAAACATTTGGAAGTTACCCTAACATAAAAAGAATGTATATTCCATTTGATAATTCCGCTTTCTGTTTATAATATTAATTATATTCCATTTGATAATTCCACTTTATGTTTATCATATTAATTATATTCCATTTGATAATTCCACTTTCTGTTTATCATATTAATTATATTCCATTTGATAATTCCACTTTCTGTTTATCATATTAATTATATTCCATTTGATAATTCCACTTTCTGTTTATCATATTAATTATATTCCATTTGATAATTCCACTTTCTGTTTATCATATTAATTATATTCCATTTGATAATTCCACTTTCTGTTTATCATATTAATTATATTCCATTT